GTTCGCTACCCAATGGTCATTTTCTGGATGCCTTTGTGCTTTCTTCGTGATTTTCTTTTCCTGAGTACACGCCGTGCTGGTTCGTCTTGAGAGGGGGTGTCAGGATTGCCAGCTTGGCAAGACGAACCACTGCGAGCTTGTGAGCTTGTGAGCTAGGGTATATTGCTGTGTAACGGGTGGAGAGATGAGAAGACAAGGAAAGACAACTTTGACTGACTGGCCAGTCCATCGGTCTTATTAAAGTAAAAGCACTCTTACTCTGGGACTTACCGCCCAGCAGATCCTCTATTCAGCTAACTACAGGAAAGGTCCTCACCGGCCTTTTCGCACAGGGGCCGATGCAGCAGTCCAGTGATGGGCGAGAAATGCCAGCCTTGCAAATGCTGCTGCACAGCAAGGGCTTCGTGTGAAATTGTGTGGCGATGCTTGTCGAGCTGTGAAAGCTGTGAGCTGATTGGATGGGAAACGAGCTCATTGCGTGAAGGCTTTGTCTTCTGTGTGTGTCGCAAGCTGCTTGCAGTGGACGTTGTCATTTTATTCAGCGTGTGCTTGACTCGACTGAGTGTTTGTTTCGCTTGTGCAATGATGACTGGCTGGTTGTCCATAGAAAGAACCCTCTTGACTCCTCTTCCTCTCTTCTCGTCACCAGCTAAGCTCGCTAACACGGGGCTGATGTTGTCGGTGAAGCCTCCCCGTCCGCCGAGGGTGGTTTGCATCTTGCTTTCGTCCGTGCAGCAGATGCCCGAAATTGAAACCGAAGGTCTGAACGAATGCGAAGAATACGAATGCACACAGCATGCGAGTGCTTTGGTCAGATCAGGCAGAGAACATGCATCATGTGTTCTGCTGTGCCATGCAGGCGGCATCAGTGGATCCGCTTTGTTGGGCATCTGCCACCAGCTGAAGGAGGCCGGGTTTGCGTGTGCCATCTCAACAGTGGCGGGCGAGGTCAGCAAGATGACGAGAGGGATGCACTCATGACTGCATGCTCCTCGCATTGCATTTGGACCTGGAGTGTGTGTGGTGTGCTCTGCACGCAGCGGCCTGCACTGGTGGATGTTGATCTGAGTGACGAGAAGATCCACCCCGACCTGCGCTCGCTCGTCGATGACCCGCTGGCTATCATCGACATCCGAGCATCCGACTACTGTGCACTGCTCATTCCGCACCATCTCGGTTGGTCACAGACACAGAGAGCCAATACGTACGGACGAAAGAAGGGAGAGAGTGTCTGTCGTGTGGCCGGCTGAGATGGACGTGTAGGTGCGGCGCAGGACCTGCTAAACTGTGACGTGCTGGGTGACGTCCTAGCTGCCTTTCTCAAACAACACAGTAGCTGCCAGCTGCAACCACCTGAGAGAAGGTATCTCATTGATTTAATGGCCCCTGTCTGTTCAGAGCCCATATGCACCATCGGCTACGGGACATACGGTCTGTGCGCTAGACAGAGTCACGGCGACAGCAGCAACGGGTGGGTGGGCTGACTGACAAATGGAGGGCCAGCCCAGCGTGGGTGCTGTGCTGCATGCATCACGATATCGTTGTCTGTGTGTTGCTGCCTGGCCATCCATCCGTCTGTCTGTCTGTCTGTCTGTCTGTCAGGTGGCAGTTTGCTGCAGGCCGTCTCGTGACGGGTGTGTCTGTGAGTGATGAGTGTCGTCATCCCCACTTCGCCAAGCTGCCGATCGTCCTACAGGACTTCGTGGAAGAGAGCGGCGGCACATTTGTGGGTACGGATGGACACACGCAGAGAGCGCAGTGAGTCCTCCAACATGGATGCCATGTATGTTGTGGCGCGCGGGTCTGGTGTGGGCCGTTCAGAGTGTCCCAATGACCAAGTGTGTGTCATCGTCGACCGCAATCTCGTCACAGGTCAGGCAGACAGCTGACAGCGGGTTGCGTGTTCTATTGACTGACTAATGGTCTGTCTATGTGTGAAGGGAGTTGTGTGTCAATGTGTATGCAATGCAGGCCCGAATGAGGCCTCGACTGGGGTGTGCATCCACAACCTGCTGTATCTCTGTCAAGACGATGGGCAGACAGCTGCCCCGTTGCTGAATGGCCTGGGCTAGTGAGAGGGGGAAAGAGAGACAGAGGGACGTATGCCGATAGATACCTTCCCTTTATGAGTCAGTCAGATGTTGTGAATAGCTATCTAGGGCCGTTGGCTGTGTTCTGCGTCCTTCCTTAGCGAGGCTTTATTTATCCGTTGTTTGTACAGACGGCATGGATCCCTTCTGAATTAGGATGTTGGCATGTCTTATCCGCAATGGAGACAGACCGTCGTGTGGTCGTTTTCATTGGCGACTTCCTCCGGTGCCATTTGTCAGTTCACACAATAGCAGGCTGACGAAAAGCATCCAAGGAGGTGCAGACAATAAAGACGACTCACCGGGACGCGCAAAAGCAAAGACAGAAGACAAAAACAGAAGCACTCGAACTGACAAACCATGAATCCGCAACGCAGCGAGTCACAACACCTCACAGTACTGCAAAGCACAAATCCTCCACACACAACTTGTACACCTCGCCTTCGCGCCTCGCCTTCGCTTCGAGTCGAACTTTGGCCAGCACACCACCTCTTGGTAGGGAGGTGTACATCAACGTCAATTGAAATCAAGGGCACATACACACACTCTCTCCCCTTCATCACACACGCGGTGATGTCTGACGTGTCTCGTCCTTTTTCTTCTTCTCCTTGATGCCTTTCACGACAAGGGCCACAGAGACATACTGAAAACGCCAATCCACAGTGCCTTCGTTGCCTGCATAGCGCACGTAAGGCAGACGCATGACGCAGTTGTACCCAAGATGGCCACGAAGGCCTGGAACGCTCTTCTGTCCTGCAGGGCCAAGCTGGTATACAAAGCTCGTCTCTGGCGGCAAATCCAGCCTTTCATACGGGTATTGTTCCTGCCATGTGTATCTCTCGTCACATCGCCCCAGAAGATAAAGAAGGTCCTGAGCACCCGACGGGACTCCAGCATCAGCACTTCGAGCCGCATCCCACTTGTCCATAGCGTCCGGGTCGAGCAGCATTTGCGCAATTTCTGGCAATGCCTCTTCATGGCCCGACCATCCCACAATCGCACGGTAGTTGGTCAGCTTTTTGCCAGCCTCGTGTGCGAGGTCAGCTTTTGTCTTGAAGTTGTTGCTGCTTTTTTTGGTCCACTCTTTTCGATAGAAATCAGCAATCTTCCTCACGTCGTCGGCCAGGGTTTGGTCGACGACGCTGAACCACGGATCCTCGTCAAAGTCCGCATAGGCGCTGAGTAGATGGATTTCGCAATCGAAGAATTGCGACAGCAACTGATAGAGGGCGCTGTCGATGCCCTTCAGGTGGCGGGGTGTCATGCTCGACAAGGTGTAGTCATGGCTAAGTTGAAACACCCACGATTCATTAGCCTGAGAAACCACAGAGCAAAAGACAGGAGCGGACGATCGCCTGTCTGTCTGTCTGTCTGTCTGTCTGTCGGGCTGGCTGACTGTGTGTGTGTGTGTGTACCTGTGAAGAAGTGAAGTGTTCTCGCATTCCATCCACCAACCGCTGCAACGGAGGAGCGAGCGGCCCGTTCTTCTTGAACCTTTTCATAGACCCCTGTCGTCGTAAGTTGTAGGCCAGCACGAGACGATAGCCGGAGGTCACGGGCTTGACGCTGTGGACAACGTCGGAGAAGAAGGCGATCCACCGACACTGCTGGCGAGCCAGCGATGTTTTCGTCTCTTTGTTGAAGCTGTCGCCATCGAAATTCCCCCCGTCATGCAGCAAGAAGTCGCCTCCATTGTATTTGGTCGGCAAGAAGATGAGCAGCGAGCCAAAGTGGTCATCTGACCGCTGAGTGTCCTTGTGCACCTCAAAGAAATCCCCTTTGCCGTAGATGAGCATCTTATAGAAGTCAGCCTGGACGCGGCTCGTCGGTGACATCTGCTCCTCCAGGTGTCTGCAGATGTCCTCAACCACCCTGGTCCAGTTGGCATCTCTTGCCTTGAGCGTCACTTTGTCTCCCGCCACCTCCCTGGACTTGCGTGCCTCCAAATCCATCAGTGTTTGGTTCCCCTTGCCGACGGGAGACTGGGATGTGTGCGTATCATATAGCTCCCTCAGTTCAGACGACTGCAGCACACACACACGTAGCCGGCAGAAGATACGTCAAATAACTTGGGTCAATCGTCACTTCCTCAGTCTATGGCGCTCACCGAGAAGGGGGCGTCTGTGATCGTCTCGCAGTCGGGTTCGAGTGTCCATGAGGGCCCGTGGATGGACGGCAGCAGGTCCAGGGTGCCCGAGATGAATGGCTTGGGGCTCTCATGCTCCTTCAGATGCCTCACAGCGTCGCCAACGGCCGTCCACGCCTCCTCCTTGGTCAGCTGCTTCATTTCCAGGGCGGATCTGAGGCGAGGTCTCGCCGCCGACAGGCCGACGTGCTGCTGAGGGGCCTGCTGCCAGAGAGGTGAGGACGGGATGAATGCACCATCAGCGACAAGACGAAGCGAAGCCACCGTGACGGCGAGAAGGATTTGACTCATCATCACGACACGAGGAGACGAGGGCATACTCCGGAAGCAATGTCAAGGGTAGACGTGGACGTTTCGTTGCGGGAAAACGACGAAAAGCCCGGACAGATGGATCGGAGTCGAGCTCGCAGATGTGAACTCCAAACCGCTGTGGGAAGTGGAAATCCCCGCTGCCTCATCACAGCCATGCGCCCTTGTCAGCGTTGCCCGAAGAGAACTGATATGTTGATCTTGCTCATCTATCTCATCCTGTGGAGCAGCATCAGCGATGCATTTATCTCCCCTTCCCGCCTCTACTTGCGCAACACAATGCAGCCCGGCAGCAGCCACCTCCATCGCGCCTCGAGATCAACGCTTCACCACACCCGCAGCAGGCAATACCCACAGTACCGGCGGTCAGTGGAGATGTTTCTGCGTGGCGGAGGCAGGAAGACGGAGGTTGTGGAGGAGCCACCAGCAGTCAAGATGACCGGCTGGCTCAAAGTGTGGTCAATCGTCCTGCCTGTTGCCATCATCGGCATTGCCGTCCTCAACCTGGTCACCCGGTCGGGAGCCAAGCGGACCAAGGCCATCATCAAGACAGAGGAGGACGCCAAGGAGCTGCACCGATTCACCTGCGAGAACTGCGGCTACACCATCTTCCCGGCGAGAGGCCGCGAGGGAAAGTTCTTCGGCGATGACTTCGAGTGCCCTGTGTGCGGGGCCAAGAAGGAACATTTCTACGACGGCAACGATCCAGGTACGGACAGGCACGGCATACCATACATACCTATGTTTGCTGTGTGGGTGCGTTCCAGATGACCCGCACAATAAGGCTCCTGAGGAGGGTGAGAGCGCGCCCGACAAGAAGCCGGCTGAGGGCGCGAAAGCAGAGCCAGCTGAGGGCGTCAAGGCAGAGACTGAACAAGAGAAGGCGACAGAGAAATCGGCTGACGTTGCGAACACAAAGGCGCCAGAACAGAAGGAGGAAGTGAGGGCGTGATTGTGCAGCGGCTATTCGCTCGGCAGGCGGCGGGAATTCATGGCATGGGCAGTTAGGTGGTACACTACTGTGTACATGCGGTCGATAGAGCAGAGCTGTATCATAGGTCATAGAGAAGTGCTTCTGTGGGCGCACTTGCCGAGACGGTGGGTGGACACAAATGCTAATTTAAACCCCAACTAGTGGCAACTACTGACATGACATGCCTATCACTCCCGTCACAAAAAGATCCACCAGCCAAGCCAGATACGTTACACATCAATCACCCGAGAACGATGACACAGCGCTCTCAGAGAAGGCTGATATCGATAACGAGGACACAGTAGGTTCCTTCCGGTGCCCTCGCTTCTTTCTCTTAGCGGCTGGCTTCTTTCCCCTTTTCTTCAGCCCTCGCCGTGTGGCCTCCTTGTCAATCCCCTCCTTGTCTGCAGCACCCGCACCCACATCCTCATCGGTATCCATTGCGTCTGGCTCAGGTGGCAGAACGACAGACACACGGCCGCTCCGCTTCTGCAAGACCCACACGAAAATCGTTGCATCAGTTGGCTGTCCGTGTGCCACATGATGTGGCTGTCTCACCTTTGGGGGCAAGTCCGCCGGGGAAGGGGGGAATACGTCGGCAGGCAGGTGCGTTGGGGCATCCACCAAGTGGCCACTCATTGACTTGTTGACGAACACGAAACTCGGACGTCGTGAGCCAGCAAAGCGCTCTCTAATCTTCGCCCTGAACACAGAACAGAGACGTGGATGCATGACGGAAACCATCTTCAGTCCTTTCATGCGCACCATTCGATATCTTGGCTTCCCGCCTGTTCATGCGCACCATTCCTCAGCATCACTCTCCCCATATTCGCTCTCCTCTCTCACTTGTAGACCCTGTCGCCTCGCGATCACACGGGCTATTTGGGCGTCATCTCTTATCAGCAGGTGCCAGTAAGGAGCTCGGAGAAAAGGTCCGCCAGGGGCTTCTGATGGCACTCCCTCTTCTGCTTCTTCCTCTGCTCGGATGGATGGCGGGGAGCCCTCGCCTTCTCTTCTTTCCTCCGCTGCCGGTTCCTTTTCCGGTATTCTCCCGTCTCTGCGGAGCATCTCAGGTACACCAGGCAGGCCAGCCCTTGCTTCTCCTTTGTGTCTCTCCTCAAGCCCTCGCCTCGCTCGATCGACGTCTTCAGCCTCGACTGTCTCGTCGCGGACTTTGGGGAAGGCCGATTGAGCCAGCTCTATGTCTTTCGCGGACAAGGACGGCTCTCCTTCGCCGCGAGGCCTTTCCTGCCTTCAATAGCTTCCCTTTCTTGGACCGTCTGGCTCTCTCGGTCTGTTCCGGGGGCTCTTCAGGGATATCTTCGAGTGGAGGGAACGAGCGCAGTTTCTTCTTCCTGTAGCCCCACAGTGGTCGCATGTCTCGTCTGAGGATGGCGGCACGCCGGTCGGCCCGCTCGGACGGCGATAGATCGGACGTGGCCACTTCTGAGGGTGCTGAGGAGGGGGTGGCAGGGGGACTGCGGCTGAAGGAAACAAGAAGAATGGTACACAGTCGGTGATGATACATGCGAAGTCTCGCTTACGGGCTTCGTGCGATGGGGTATGTGTCGTCGTATCTTTTTTGGAGGCGCTTGGCCACCTCTCGGTCGAGGTGAGCATCTGGCACATCATGTCACATTTTGCACTGGTGTGCACAAACGTGCCATTGTGTTGGTTCACTTCTGAGGCTCGCTATCTCACTCCGGGCGTCCTCTCTCCACTGAAGGATACAATGGCAGAGTGTGACCAGAATCCAAGCCGGAATTGCCTGCTCACGTCCATGAGGTCTACACCGTCTTGAAGTGCTTCAACGTCGCCTCTCAGCCGCTCATACGCCTGAAAAAGAAACGGACGTCAGGATGACGCTGGTATGTGTGTCAGCGACGAGGAGCGTGCTTACCTGTTCGAGCGCCTCTGCATACTTCATGATGGATTGTGAGTCGCCGTATACATCCTTCGTCTGGTCGATCAGCCTGAGTGAGAGAGAATACACTCATGTACAGCGATTAATGTCGCTCTTCTGTCTGTCGCCTACGTGTTTGTCTCTGCTTGGATGAGCTGCCGCTTGACACGGAGGATCGACACGTCTGTCACCTGTCCAGCCGATGACAATGTCACCATTCAGCGTGTTTCTTCCATGTGCTCACTGACCAGCTGCTGCACCAGCACGAGTCGCCCCATGGTGAGCACATGTGTCTCCTGCAGATGCTTTGACTTGGGGCTGTTGAGCAGCCTCACGTAGTCTTCGAAAAAGCGAAAGCGCGTCGCTATTAGCAGATAGTCGACACTCCTGGGCCGCATCTTCTGCTGTAGCGCCTTGCAGAAGATCTTGAAAGAGTTCTTCACCTGAGAGTCACGAAGGATGTCAGCGCAGACAAGCAGGGGGATGATTTGGTTTGTGTCGTACCTTCTTGTTGACGACGATAGGGACGTCGTGGAAGACTTCCATGCCTTGGTCTTCTGACACGTCCAGCATTGTCATGATGCCAAACTCAGGCTCCTGGTCATCCATGAAGGCCAGGTACTGCCATTGGGACTTGGGGTCTGATGACCACCGCTTAGAGACATGTGCACCACCTGCATGCGCATGTCGACTTTGTGGCCAAGTGACTGACCTGTGATGCCCATTCGTCTGAGCTTGAATTTGAAGCGATCCACTTCCATCTGCCGCAGCCTACGAGTGGCATCAACCAGAATAGCTATAACCTAATGGACAATACACAGCCACCGATAGAGGAGCAGCACACAGTAAGCATCACCTACCAATGCCAGCACACAGAACATGAACATGACGGCGAATGCAGTCTTGAAGAGGCCGATCTCGAAGGCCTGCTCATACTGGGAGAAGGCCACGGACGCCACATGCCGCACCAGCATCTTGACGCAGGAAGTGAATGAGGTCGAGAACGAGCGGAAAGCCACGTTGCGCGCTCCAAGAACCAGATGCCCGACGACCACGAACAGGACGAACAGAGGGATGAAAACCGCGCACAGAGACACGAGCTTCCACCTGTGAATGAAGGAAAATAGCCGCATACGAGTCAATGCTGCTTGGTGTGCTCACCGCGCCATGACGAGTGTTCGTGTGAGATAAGCCAGCCTGCTGATAAGATTGGCGAATTTGATGAAGCGGACAATAACGATGAAGATGGCGACAGCCGATGAGGTCACGAAGAAGCGGTAATCCTCACTCATCTGACACAGACGAAAGCATCGAAGAGGCTGCATCGTTCAGCTGTCTTGCATGCTTACCGCCTTCAGTGCATCGATGACCCTGTCTGCACGCTGCCGTGCTGGCGATGCGGGATGAGGGACTGATGTAACGAAACAGTGGAATTGGCTTTTTCCTGTTTGCCGTTGGTCAGCTCACCTCTCGTCAGGCCTTCAATGAAAGGATACGGCACCGTCGGCCTGAACGTCGAGAGGCACACGTGATCATGAGACAACACGACTCTTCGTTCGGTCGCTTCCTGTGCCCACCCCGGCACACTTGTTAGTGCAGTTGTGTTGGTCTCGACCATCTCTGCCTCTTCGAATAGCGGCTGAAACTCCCACCCCAGCATCTCACCCCACGCCACACCCAACACCACCATGCTCACACCCAAGGCGATGTCATACAGCAGCCACCTAACAAGAGGGAGACAAAAGCGCAAGTACGAGAGAAACATCTCCGTCAAGCAGATAAGCCTACAGGTCGATGTCGGCTCTGCGTGTGGCCACGAGGAAGATTTGCGTCACAAAGAAAATGGAGAATAGCACAAAGACGATCATCTGGAGGTACCAGAACTCTTCACGGGCCCCTGAAGGGAACGGCCAAAATCAAGCGGTGCGTGCGGCTCACACATCCACACTCGTACTTTCGGTCTTGACGGGCCTTGATGCAGCTGTGACACGAACACGTCCAGATGGCTCAAAGGCAAATGTCACCCCACTCCACACAAATTTCCTGATCATGCAACACGCAGGCAAACACAAATGCACGGACCATGTGGTCGTCTCTCACTGACCTGCCGTCGCCGTTGTACGTGGCCCACTCAATGTCGAGCACGCCACTCTGATGGTCCAGGAATAGCGGCGGTACCAGTCATTCAACGCGGCACCCATCGCTGTCACGTTGTCTTCTGGATGACGGATGCCAAACAACCAGCCAGCGTTCGCGGCCCCCCATGCAACTTGTGATGAATTGTTTGTTGCCTACTTGCATTCAGATAAAGTCGGAAGTCCCAATGACTCAGCCTCAAACGAACCTCCATTTGGATCTCCATTCGTGCCCACGGCCGCGCCAGTACCACTGCCGTTCCCGGCGGCTGGTGAGTCATAGCCTCCATACGAGCTCGTGTAGACCAGCCACAGGGAGGGGCGACCGGCGCTCGCATGACTCATGTCAGTCTTAACTCTGCGCACACACGCAATACATGAAGAGAGTAGCTATTGTTGCAGCCGAGCGCTTCGTTAACTACTTTGGTGTGTGCCCGTTTGTGTGCGGATTGGCATTGTCGATCAGCTTGTTGCGGATGAGGGTGAGACGGACCATGGGGTTGGTGAGAAGTATGTCGTGGCGGCTTGTGTCGTACTCTGGGTTGAGCAGGCGGGCAATCAGGTTCTGGTAGATCCACTGATATATGCCGTCGAGCGTCTGGACGTCCTGAGGCAATGCGAAGGAGAGACAGCTTTTACAACCAGATGTGTCTCGGTATCCAGCCCCACCTCTATGGTTTCCGTTCTCGGTCTCCAATCGTCCTCTTGTGCGTCGTATCCATCCCACACTTCTCCTTCTGATGCCCACTCACTCGGAAAAGCGGCTGTCCGGTAGTCGGCGAGGTTTGTGAAAGACGACCAGTCTACATCTGCATCGACCGCCAGAGAGCCATTGGCCTGTAGCACGCGACGAGCCACGGCTTGGCCAGAGGACCCGGCAAACATGTCGGCAAGTGATCTAGGAAAGAGCAGCGGCACTATTCCGCCTGTCATTTGGTATTTGCAGGCCCTACTTTATCGGTTGGCGCTGTATGGGCGAAGAAGTGACGAAGGTTTCCTCAAAGACGCGGCTGCCGGCCCTTGTGAAGCGCAGCATATCTTCATTGTCAATCTGCAGCACAACTGCCTCGAATGGATGAATGTGGCACGAAGGAAGGCCCACTCGTGCAGTCACTCACTTGCGACAAAGAAGAATGGCGCGAACAGCAGGAAGAGGACCGCACTGACCCACAGGCCGCAATACTTGGCCTCTTCCTCCTTGACAAACTCATGCATCTGCATTCGAAACCGAGACACAGAGTCGAGCATCTGATCGTCTTCTATCTCGCATTGTCTCTTTCCCCCACCTTGAAGGCATCTTGTGTGTCGTATCTATGGTTTTTGCGCCACTTATATGCCTCCTCAGACACCTCTCCCATCCCCTCCGGCTCGTCGGGCCTGCCCAGCCCTTCCCAGTCCTCGCGGCCAACCACAGGCCGCCGACCCTCACTGGCCAACTTTGCCTGCCGCTCCAAGTCATCGTTCTTCTCAGGGTCCTTTTGAAAGCAGAATAAGGCATCCTCTTTCAGGCGGTTGAAACTCTGGGTGAGATAGCCCTCTGCATAAGGACACGGCAGCCTTAAGTTAAGATATAACGTGGCCAAGGTTGCTCTGACCTATGTCTGGGTCGGTGTGTGTCTCGGCGGCCTGGGTAAAGGCGAATATGATAATGGCAATGAAGTAGGGCAGCAGGATGAACAGAAAAACGACGTAAAAGAGCACAGTGAAGACGATGGGGAACGCCGAGCTGTCAGCTTCGTTTTGCAAGAGAGTTCAGTAAGACGTGTCACTGCCTCCTGCCCGATCACCCAGCAGCATCCTGCGCACAACAACACATAGGAATGGCCGATTCCGACGCAGTCGCTTCCACAATGAGCCCCATCTTCTCACTTACGCGAAGAGGTTTGCATTGGCTGGAGCCACGGATGAGAACTCGTACACTTGAGAGCCAAACATGAAGAAGGCGAAGAACCCAAAGGCTAGCCATGCAGCGGTGAGTGCGATCATGAGCGGCACAAAGTTGGGCAGCGCCTTGCGGAACGTGTCAAGGATGAGACCCATGGCTGGATTGCAGTCGCATAGGAACGAGAGGGCGCGGAAGGCCATGACCAACAGAGTGATGCCGCTCCAGGCCTGCAGAGACAACCGAGACATGACATCCAGCACGACGCTTCTGTGTTGAGTGTACCAGTAGGACACCGCTTGTGCTTGCAGTGACATCAAATGCGGTGAAAAGCACTCGTAGTGTCTCTGCATTGGCCTCACGCAGGACGGCGGGGGACGGTAAAGTGGGCGGCAACAGAAAGAGCAGCATCAGAAACATGACCAAAATGCCTGGCGGGGTCAAGGAATAAGACGCATACTTGAGAAACCGTAATTACTCTCCTGTGTGATGGTCGATCATTTGTACCAAGATGAAGCACCTGGGGCACATACACTATGACCCTGCCGCGCAAATACTCCCTCATCGCGTCTTGGAACGACCAGTAGTCCCGCCACAGACGCATGACCAGCCAGATCTCAAGAAGCCAATAGAAGGCCACAAGAGCAAAATAGATAAAGCGGCAGATGTGGGCATCGAGGTTACGCGGATTGTCAAAGGTGATGGCGCGGAACAGCCAGCCGCTGCCGATTGGCCCGCACTGTGCCTCCAGAGCTCACTTGGAAGCGGTACTCCAGCTCAGAGAAGAGGTCAGTGTTGCCGTTGTAAAGGAAGACCACGAATCTTAGCGAGGCAGTAGTCTCCGAAAACCAGCCCTGGCTATAGAGGCTGCCCAGCTGAGCAGTTAGACCCGGATCCCTCGGCCGCAGGAAAGCCGTGTTGTTGCGCGACGGCTGTGTCACGTTGGCGTCAGCCGTCGGCATCCGTCCAGTTGTGTTGAAGGTAGGCGGCGCTTCGAGATAGACGGTAGGTGCTTGACTTCTCGCCGAGCCCTGCACGATGAAGAAGTACTTTCTGAAGGCCTCTGCAGGGTTGACAGGCCGCTCAAACTCCTTTCTGTCAAGCTGTGCGCCGATGATATCGTTGTACATGGCCAGATGCCCCCTCCTCATATGTGGTATCGCCACATAGGCCATCCAATCGAACACATCGGGCATCGTCTGCACTGTCAACCAGTCCCCGGAGGGCCTCCTTATCGACAGGGTCTCAAACGCGCGCGCCAGTGCGTCGAGCTGCTGCCCCTGATAGCCGATGTGGCTGTCGAGGAAGAGCGTGGCAGCGAAGATGGCGATGTAGAAGAGGTACAGGAAGCACTCCCTGCCGGGGTGATCTTTCTCATGCTGAGTTGCATAGAGCCGCGGAGGTTCAAACAGCTCAACGTCATCCTTCTCGTACTTCGCCTGACGGCCCTCATTGCTGTAGATGAATTCTCTCTTCGCCATTATGCGCAGGACAACCTCGGGCTTGAAAGATTGTCCCAATAGAGACAAGCTTGTGAAAGAGAGAGAGCACAGAGAGAGACGCAGGCCGTCCGGGGAGACGACGGGGAAGGGATGCGCCAATCTGAGACGCCTCGGGAAGGGTCAAGAGCCGTCGGTGTTGGGGCCCAGTGCAAAGATGCAAGGAAAGATGACAGCTAGGCGGGGAACACGCGGACGAGCCTACGGGGGAGCGAGTTTCACACGCCGGGGGCCTGCGAGCTTAGCTAGCGATCCTGATGGAAAGGAAATCAGGTGGACGGGGCTACCTAGGCACCAAGCATCGAAAACACCGCCGCTGTTTCTGTCCAGAAATCGCTGGCTGAGAGCCGATGCAGCTGTTTGTTTGTGGCGGCAATGATCGCCGCAGCGTAGTGCTGAATGTGCAGGCAGGGGAGAACGTAAGAACCGCCTCGCATCTATCCACTGCTCCCCACTTCGCATCTATGTGGTCACATGATTGCTGTATGTTGCAGATAGGTGAGGTGCTGAACAAGTATCAGCTCAAGGAAGGATTTCCTCCCGATGCGCTGCGTGTCACCTTTCAAGGGAAATTGGTCTGTTTGCGTCATCCATCATCCATCAAAGCTGCACGATGACGCATGAATGATGATGATGATGATGATGATGTGCGTGTGTGCGTGTGTGTGTGTGTCAGTTGGATCATGACAAGACCCTCGATTCTTACGGCATCAAACATGGCGACTCATTGAATGCCATTGTCACCAACAAGAAGAGATTCCGTGTTCCGCGTAAGTGGAGCTGCAATACACCCATTTGAATGAATGAGCATGACAAGAGCCGCTACCTTCCTTGATTTTCCCCCATCAGGGGACTTCTACTTTCCGAGCTCTGGCGGCAGGGAGGTCTGGCAGGCTGAGAGAGGGAGAGGCGTGCCTATGCGTGTACCGTGTGATGTGTTGCCCGTTCTCCCTATGTGTCAGGGTGTCGAGCTCACCATCTCTGAGTCCAGCCCAGAGAACCGCTACAGGCTGTCGCTGGCCATCAACAGAGGGCTCAAGGAGGTAAGTGTGGCCTGACCAATGAGTGAATGATGAGAGAGGGGCCGGCCTGACATGAGCCGATCGGATGGTTTTAATGGTGTCGATTTATTTCTGCAGATGGTGCAGATCGTGGGCGCAGACGGTGCAGAGCCGCGGGCAGGCCTGTTTGACATCAAATCGCATGACAAAGTATTCCAAGGTGCGCAGCCGACCAAGCTGCCGCCAGGAGGCAACTTTTGTCTGAAGATTTGCTTGTCTGTGTCTATGGTCGATCAATCAGTGGCCGAGTATTCGTTTAGCGATCTGAAGCCAGAGTTTGAGGGCGAACACAGCACGGTGGTCTCGATCTTGTCAAGTGTTGATATGAGCAGTGCGTCGTCTGTCCACGAGCGCCAGACGGCACTCATCGGCGACGCCGGTCGGAGGGAGGCCAAGTACCTAAATGCGCGCGCACAGCTGCGCAAGGTACGAAGACCAAAGCGAAATGCCAGCAAGGAGGAATGGATTTCGCTCTCGTGTGCTGGCTGGCTGTTGTCAGGCGAGGCAGACCATCTTGCACATGGAGCGTACGATCAGCGCGAGGGGCCGCACCATCGACGAGCAGCAGAGGGCCACGCAGGAACTGACCAACACCATCGACATGAAGGACGGCATCATCCAAGAGCGCGACGCGGCCATCCTGTCCATCCAGGCTGACAACACGCGACTCGGCCAGCAGAATGCCACGCTGGAGGCAGAGCGGCTTCGTGGCGACCGCCTTGTGTGCTGAACATGCTCTGGGCCACCTGCAAGCGACTGACGAGGACGCGCTGCCAGGAGATGAAGCGGATCAGTTTGTCCAGGGCCTGAATCGCAGTTGGCGTGGTTGTGTTGGCTGAGGCCTCAAGGATCTGTATGGCGCCGTCCAGGTCCATCGAAGGAGAGGGGACCTGAGGCTGCTGGAGGGATCTGCAGGAAGTGGCGATGGCCTTGTTGTTGATCTCTATCATGTGGCTGGTGAGCGCAGCCAGCTGCGGGCCCGTCAGATGGTCATGAGCGAATTCAAGGGGCAAACCTGCGAACACACACGGACAGCAATGCGGCTGCGTGAGGGTGTTCTGTCGACGAGTACCCTTATTGCCACAGGGACCGTAAAGGAACGCCATGGTGGGTCCGCCGGACACTATGCAGCCTATGCAGCCTATGCAGCCTATGCAGACTAGACACGTCACATATCCACACGAGGCGGGCGCCAGCGTAGATCTCGTCGCTGCAGACAGAAGCCAATGGATGTGGTGCTGATAGAATCAAGGGATCGGTC